GAACACTTTTTTGTTTGTGTGCTCTAGTTTGTGCTTAATGAAGACCGGTTGGGCTTTTGGGAGACAACCGCATTCTACTGATGAGAGAACGACTTACCTCGATATACGACAGAATCCCAGAAAACGACACATCCATTCCTTTGACTGTATAGGGCAGCTCCACATATCGACTCCCTCTGGCAGAAAAGACATTCAAAGCTAAGCAACATTTTTAAAAAGCATCAGAAACACATACAGTGTCAATTATCGAATGAAAGAATAAATAAAATAAAAACTTCCCAACTCACTTTTTGGCCATCTGCTCTATATTATAACCCGGACTGGGGTCATTGGAAATCTTTGGAGACACAATTTCACACCCAGCATTAACAAGCATCTTCTGCTTACGACAAAAAAGGAAACGGCTGATTTAAAAAAAAAAAAACACCCACCTTAATTACTCTGGCAAACCTGTCCAGACAGTTGCCGACAGCGATGTCGATGGTCTCCCCAAAGATTCTGTACCGCCGCTCTGAGTAGGCGATGACCTGCAAAGACGGGGTGAAAAGCACCATCACATGACCACATTCCAGCGTTTGACCAACAGCTGACCACCAGGAAACACATCACAGGAGTTTAGAAACAAACCACAAGAAAAAAAATTCTAATAAAATCCAAAATTTCCACACAGAGACTGACCTGTGTGTTTCCCCCGCTGACGTAGAGCACGGTGGGGTTGTTGGCCTTGGTGATGAGGCGACCCATCTCGATGTGTCCGATACAGTGGTTGACTCCAAGGAGCGGTTTCCCCCAGAGCTGTGCCACGGTGCGGGCCACTATGGCCACCGTTACTAAAGGAGCGCCCATACCGGGACCTAATGGAACAGGAGAGGGGGGACAGGTCACAGACCTCTCAACATTTAGGTTCAACGACACAACTTTTGTCTGTTTGTCTTACTTCAACCATTTTTTATTTTACCTTTGGTGTATGCTACACAGTCGATGTCTGTGGGTTTGAGCCCGGCCTGCTCCAGCGCCTCTTTCAGGACAGTCAGAATAACTGACCGATGGTGCCTGGCTGTCTCACTTGGCATAAAACCTTATTTAGTTACCAAAAAAAACAAAACAAAACTGTCAGCTTCACATAAAGAATAAACATGATTTCTGTGTGGGTGATGTCCAGTGCGACTTGCCTTGTCCAGGAGGCGTGATAAAGGTCCGTCTTGGGTTGGACAGCACTTCTCCGTCCCTGATGATGCCGATGCCAATTTTATTGGCACTGCCTTCGAAACCAATCACCACGGTCATGGTAGCTGAAAAGCTTTGGACAGAAAAAACAAAACCTGCATTTAATATAAGAGCTGTTCAATTAAACCCAGTCTCATTATAGGTTTCAGTAAGGTGAAGGAAATGCTTCACAAAATTCTTTCAATCTTCAGGATCACACCTTGAATATAAGTCTTGATGATCTATAAGTAACAAAATGATCAATTTTCTTAAAAGCAAGTGACTAAACTGCAGGTTATGATGGCATAGGAACCCAATGTTCTCACACTTACAAAGATTCATGTCTAAAATATCTCCTTTTTTTTAGAGAATTTTAGGCGCTGAAAGCCAAATAATGGAAAAAGAGGATTCAGGTGGGCGTCTTTAATTTTAGAACAATTCTCAGATAAGAATAAACTATCAATTTTAATGCAATATTAACGTTTTAAAATGAAAGAAGATTGTCTTGCAGTGTAGAGCAGAAGTAATGTTTCTGTAATTACGAATAACATTAAATACATGTCAAAAGTCTGCTAGCGCATAGGCTAACAGGCTCATCCTCAAAAGCCTTCTTGTTTTTTGTTTAAATGTAACACTTCCGTCCACAATAATGTAAGCTTTAGCGTGCTGCTTACCTTGTTTCGGTTGTGCACTTTCCTTTAAATTCGTGCCACTTAGAAGTCACAATATAAAGTTAGTAGCCGAATTATTTCTACATTGAGCACCTCCAAGGACCCGAACACCAGTCGTTTCAAAATATGCCTGAACACAAAGATTTTGTAAAAGACGTAGTTTGACACAGACATATGCTGGAGTAATAAATTAGGTGCTATAAAAAGAAGAAATGTGCATTCTGTATTAATCTCTCTACGTCAAAAATAAACGCAGGTCTTTTGTTTTTTTCTTTTTCAGGCATATGCTAAGACAGCAAACGGCTAGCACATGGTCACGGCGCGCTCCGCTCGGTGCTTTAGAGTGTGTGTGAGTGTGTTTGGGGGAGTGACTGGGAAACGGCGGCACTTGTTTGGGCTTTGCATCCTGTTGTCAAAGTGCAAGTAAGATTATTTGCATCTCCTTTTCCTGCAACGCGTCTGGCTTGGGGCCGGTTTCTTTAAACGCATTTGCATTTGTTGATGAATCTGATTAGCGCCCTCGATGCTTGATCGGGTTTGCTGTGGACTCCATTCATTCATTGGAAGCAAAGTGGGGCCTGCTTCTTCCTCGCTGCTCTTTGTTATACAAGCAAAGCTAGCGTTAGCATAGCTTGCTATTAGCTAAACTTGATTAACATTGACAAATGCTCAATTCTTCGTCGCTTGTGTGTGGTTTGTGAAAGCACGTGGTAAACATTTGCTCCAGCAGTTGCAGATATGCACAGTAAAGCAGACATTCACACCAGGAGAACTGCCTTCATCATGTGGTTCCATCTTTTTCAGGTTCTTTAAGGCCTCGAGAAACCCATTTAACCTTTTTGTTTGGCTAATGTGCAGCATCCCACGTGCAGCAGGTAGCTGGAAACATGAACATTTGCTGGTTCTTACAGATAATGCTGGCGATGCTAAAGTGTCTCAATTCTTATTTAATGGGCCTTGTGTGTAATGTAGGTTTTCACAACACTAATTCGATCTAGCAAGAGGAAATTGATGAACGTTTCCGGATACATTTTTTAGCTAAGGCTTGCTTCTGATGACAGTCACTGTAACCTTTATTTACCAACCTAAAATGTATCATCTTAGTCCTTCAAATAGGTGTTCGAATTAAAATATGTAAATGAGATACCATTTTAAAGATGAATGACAGCATCCTGGCTCCTTATATTATACTTTACGTATTCAGAGGAAGATAAACATGTGAGAACATAAATAATAGTAGTATCTCTATCGTGTAAACAATTGGAGGGAAAAAATCTATAATCGATGTGAATACCTTTTTTTTTCTTGAAGGGATCTTCAGGAATAGTTGTCCAGGCTTCTGGAAGGACATCCCGAAGTTCTTCTTGAGATGTTGGCTGTCCTTTTTTAGTCCACTTGTCCAGTTTATTCATGCACAACATGCTGAGACATGCCAAGTTTTCTGTTGATATCTCTTTTGGAACCCAGTTTTTGCTGCAAAAATAGTATTTTGTTTGTCAAACTGTGTTAGTTTACTCTTTCTTAATATTTTATTTTTATATATAAGATGTGCAGATGTGATATTTGGGTCAATGTTAAATGGCTGCATCTTTTAGGTCAATGTTCGTAGGGATTTTGTGAGTCTCAAAATGATCAACCATCACATCTGTCTGCCACTTTGACAAATGTCATCGTTTTCCATGATCTTCTTAGTGTTCCAGAAAAAAGGGGGTTGCAGTGTCCACAGCACAGATTTATTCTAAATGTGTTATACTTACATTTACATGTCCGGCTGTTGTAGCATTTTCACCCGTTGGCCTGTTTCTCCTCTTCCAGCTGTGCGCGTGCTGCTGTGTGTGCGTGTCGCGTGTCGGCCCCGCGTGTGTGCTGTCCGGTTCGGTTCCAGGATGAAGAGAGGCAAGAAGACGGAGGAGGAGGCGGTGGCGGCGGAGGAGGGCGAGAACGAGACGGGGGCAGGTACGGCATCGGCGAGCCTCTCATGCAACACGTTTCAGGTTTCCGCGTCTCACCGCGCTTTCTGTCAGCCTCTGTTAAGAAAGCCAAGAAGGCCAAGGAGCCCGAGGCGCCCGTGCTGTACGAGGACCCTCCTGACAAGCTGACCAGTCAGGACGGCCGCAGCGCCAACACGAAGATCACCTCCTGGAACGTGGACGGGCTGAGGGCCTGGGTCAAGAAGAAGGGCCTGGACGTGAGTTTTCACCCTAAACCCACCGGGAAGCTGCCTAACAGACTAGTGTGAAAGCTTCTCTAAGCTAAACCTCTTTTTTTTTTTGTATTTTCCCTTCCCCCAGTGGGTCCGCGAGGAGGCCCCAGACGTTTTGTGCCTTCAGGAGACCAAGTGCGCCGACAAAGACCTCCCCGCCGACATCACCTCCATGCCCGAGTACCCCCACAAGTACTGGGCCGCGTCGCAGGGGAAGGAGGGCTACAGCGGCGTGGCCATGCTCTGCAAGACCGAGCCAATCAAAGTGACCTACGGCATCGGTGAGTGAGGCCCGTTCTGTGTGGGACTAGGCTTGTCCCGATCCGATATTTAGATCAGATCGGCCGCCGATATTTGCAAAAAAATGCATATCGGCCAACAGGAGAAAATGCAAAACCAGACTCCCAATCCATTTTTTATTTTTTTTTAACTCATTGGCCGCCAAAGACGTCTATAGACGTCAATTCAAATACAACCGTTCGCTGCCAAAGACGTCTATAGACGTCTTTTTTATGTTTTTCAACATGAAAGAAGAGAGTCTACTCTTTCTTTTGGTGTGTTCCGTGTTTACATAGTCATAGCACAAACTATTCTGTGGCTCTTGAAAAATCTGTCAAAATGCTAAAAAAAACTGGCAGTATGGGATTCTCTGTTCTGAAAATGGCTGGCAGTCAATGAGTTAAAGTCTAATCAATTCTGTATTATTCAAACTCAACTAATTCAGCTGGCTGGTAAATCTCTTTTAAACATGAGTCTGACAACTAAGTAAGTAGGTTAAAAAACTTTAAACTTTAATACATGCTCTGATAGGCCGGTATCGGATTGGAAGTGAAAAAAGCTGGGACATCCCTATTTGGGAGTACAAAATACTGGTTGTGTGGTTCTTTTTAAGGAAAAGGAAGCGGTCAGGATTGGGGTTTTTGTTTCCGATACCTCAGATGAACGCGCCCCCGTTGTCATACTCTCTGAAGTCTTCTTCTCTTCTCCCCGCTCCTTCCAGGCAAAGAGGA